TGCTGGAATAGTATTTCACAAAACTTCAGTATTTATCTGGCTTTCTAACTAATGTATAAATAGTTTAAAGAAATTAATTTCTGTCTTGAGCAACAATTTTAGTAAACTTAACAATATGTCTAGACTTTCAGAGATTTGTTTTCATCAAAGTTAGTATTGTTTAAGACATCTGTAGTTCTTGTCGTACTATCACTTTTTCATTTCATTTTAGAATTGTCATTATAAAGACGTCTAGAATAAGTGAAAATGCAAATTGTATGACTAAAATGAATTTAACTAGTAATAAATTTTTAAAACATAAATTATAACAGGTATACTATTTACCAGTGCTATAATTTTTTTATAAATATGAATGTAAATAAGTATAAATATATATTTGTAATTTTAACATTTGAAATGTTTGACGTTAACTGTTTATTTTTATATATCATGTTACTAGAAGTAAAGACATAAGCTTTGAAATTGCTGAATTATAAAATGCAGTAATCACTTACAAAATATATTAATGCTATTTTAACTTGGTTTGACTTATTTAGGGTATTTTAGGACTACATGGTCAACACTGGTTAATCTAAAATACTATATTATTATAAAGTATTTTTGAATAGTTTTCAGTTGTTGAATTTACCACTATATATATAAAACAATTCCATTTAAAAAAATATAAAAGATGTATTAAGTTTCTGCACTTATAATAATCAGATATTTAAACAAGCAATAGGAGTTACAATGAAAGCTAACTATTCTACTTGTATAGCAAACTTATATCTCTGTTTTTGTGTGAAAATAAGTTTATTGAAAATCTCATAAATCCAGATATTTTTGCTTTAACTTATAGATATGTAAATGATTTAATTAGTATAAATAATCATGAGTTTTATTAACACTTTATCCAACAGAATTAGAAATTGAAAACACTTATATTTCTGAAGTAGACACATTATTTAGGTGTAGAGATTAAAATAATTAATCACGATATTAATTTAAATTTAAATCTTTTAAAAGTAATATGCCATACTCTTCTGTTGTAAGTGTTATAGTGTTGTAAGTGTTATAACTTCACAACTGCTCAGATTCTGTAAAATTTGTAATAGATTAAAATATTTCATGATTAACGTTGAAATATTGATTCAAAAATTCTTTAATGAATTTAATCAAAAAGCATTAAAATTATTAAAGTATTTTGAATTAAACACAAAAATGTGTTAAGTAATTATAAATAAATAAGAAATAAAAAAATGTTTTGCTTGAAATTTCCAATAAATATTTTTAGTTTTTAAAATGTTGTTTAAACAACTTGTCACTATTTTCTTCTGTGCACGAACATGATTTTTACACACAAGTATAAAAGCTCTTATAAAGTCTGAAAGTTAGAAGTTACAGTAAACTTAATGGGTGGAGGTTGGGAGTTATACTAGTTTAGATAACTTGGTTGGCTTTTTACGCTTTTATACTAATATAATTTGTCTACTGTACTACTAATTAACTTATTAATTTTGGCCTTTACTACTATAATGGGGGGCTGGATTACCAACATCAGTGCCTTGCTTACTTCCAGTGGTAGGAACTTATTTATATTTCTTTTGAGAGCAGTAACCTCTCCACAACTGTCTGCAGGTAGTGAAGGGTGATATAGATGTAGGACGTTGTGGGTGCTCACACCCACATTGTGCTCTTCTAACTTATCCTTATTTTTCTTGTTTATTCTTCCTTCTTTAACATGTGAGACTGGCAATTGAAGGTTAAGACTGGTAGACACCATAGTGGGTCACCTCCAAAACCCAGGGCACATCTTAAATCCCACATTATAGTCTGTACCCTGGTGATCCTTTTAATTTATGCAGCTTTTTTTTTTTGTAAAGGCCTGTTTTAATAATTAAAATAAGCATAATGAGTGTGTGCATATCTCTGTGTGTGTCTATATATATATAATATGTAATTTCTTGTCTGTCTCAGTATTATATTCAGTTTAGTAGGAATACCTATTTGTTAAATATACAATTTATTATTAATAATTATAGCAATATAGGGAAGTTGTTCAAAACTGAGTGGCAGAACGATATATTTTTTATAAGTGCAAGGTTATGGTTATGTTAACCTCACTATTGGCCAGTAATGTCATGTGACAGAACCTCCAAGTAGCACTTAGTTTCTCAATATTTTTCTTGCACATTTTTAACCTTTCATAGATTGAGCAAAATTCAAAAACTTTCTACGGTTGACTAATGTTTAAACTAATAACACCCCCATCATAAACATATAAAACAGTACTAAATTGTCTTATATAACAGGTACGAAAAATGATGATATTACAGATTTCATTTCACCGAAGGTAAAATTGAAGATATAATGTGTACTGTAGAGGTGTTATTATTATATTCTTTTATTCACCACACACTCTGCTTTGGGCTGCACTTTCAGCTATTAAAGGCTCATCAACACAACATGGGTCAAGAAACACAGTAAGGCCTCTTATCATGGTAGTGTATATATATAATATTTATGGAGTTTTTAAGAACTTTTTAATTTACCATATAGTAACCTAAATAAACCTGTAATATCATCAAACAGTATAATACAAAATAATATATTTGGCACAATGCCACATTAATATTCACATACCTAAATTAATTTAGATTACTAAATAGTGAGTTGAAAGGACTTAGAAATGCCATAAATATTTTAAGTTTGGAAACGCGTAAAGAGTTTTGTTTGCAGCTAGTGACTGATAAGAGTAATAATTGAATAAATGATTTATTGTTTCTAAATGTTAAACAATGCATTTAGGTTTTGTGTATGATAAATTTTCATTCACAAAAATTTAGGATTAAAAAAAGTGACTTATTGTAAGTTATTTTGCATGAAGAAGTTCATACTTTCATATCTGCATGGCTGCAAAGAGTTTTGCCTGTAAATAAACGACTTACTTGTCAATTATTTTTAGAATTTTTGTGCCCATCCCAACAAAACCTATCACCCCTTGAGCATTATCATTCATTTCTTGATTTCCAAGTATTTCACTTAGTTTTTGTACAAACCTTAGTTGAAACCTTGTTGTGGTGCCACATCAGAAGGTTTGATCACTTACTAACAAAACAAAGCCTTAAAAGAAGCTGTAAAGAACTTTAAATATGATTGGAACTATTGTGTATACTTGAATAAATATATAGGTTTAAGAATTTCTTTATTGTTTCTGCAAATGTTCATTTCAATTGTTGGATTATAATGAATCCCAGTTTGCCCCTGAATACGAAAGGTTCGCCTTTCAAAAGTGCTTGGGTTATAGGGTTTTTATTCATTTGTAGTAGACAAAAGATAGCTTTAAAATCTTATTTTAACATGCCTCTTATCTGAAATCCATAATGGATTAATTAAGAAAAAAGTATCTGCAGTTTAGAGTGATTTTTATCATGAATATTGAGTCTGTTGGTTGAATTATCATGAATATTAGGTCTGTTGATTGAATTATCATGAATATTAGGTCTGTTGGTTGAATTATCATGAATATTAGGTCTGTTGGTTGAATTATCACGAATATTGAGTGTGTTGGTTGAATTATCACGAATATTGAGTGTGTTGGTTGAATTATCACGAATATTG